GGTTAAAGAAAAAGATTAGTAGTCTCAATTTAGAGCCTTCCTTAGAAGACCAAATCAACAATCTCCTGGCTGATACTTCTGATGAGGATTCTATAAAAGAATCCGAAGAAGAGGTCAACCAAATTCAAAATGATGACCAAGCCTCTTCTTCTGACAGTGATGAAACTCCAGAAATCAATGTTTTGACAAAAGAACAAGACCTTCTTTTTGAAGCTATAAGCTCTATTTCGGATCTTCAAGAAAGAAAAGATTTTTTAAACAAGTTTAAAGAGGTTTTAGAAAACAAAACTAAACCTAAAGAATATTTCACTTCAAACAAATTTGATATTACAAACATTTTCAAAAGATTAGAAAAGAATTCTAGTATTAAACCAACCACCATTCAAGATCTCCAGATTGAGATAAATAATCTCAAGAAAGAGATCAGAGAAATCAAAGAGCAACAACAAATTCATCAAATTATCCTTTCTCAATTAGATGAGGATTCTGACAATGAGAAAGTTGAATTTCCTGAAAAAAATGATTCAGTGAAAGATGATTCTGATTATCCAGAAGAAACTTTTATGTGCTTGATCAACAAGGTCAAAATACAAAAATTTTATATTAATATCAGAATCGTTATTGATGATTTTGTTCTTGATACTTTGGCCCTTTTTGATACAGGTGCTGATTCAAATTGTATCTTAGAAGGTCTAATTCCTACAAAATATTTTGAAAAAACCTCTGAAAAACTCAGCACTGCTAGTGGTTCAAAGCTGAAAATTAATTACAAACTTTCTAAAGCCGTGATTGAAAATCAAGGGCTTAAGGTTGAAACAAATTTTCTTCTTGTTAAAAATTTAAAAAATGAAGTTATTTTGGGAACACCGTTCATAAAGGCTCTTTTCCCTTTGCAAATTTCGAAAGATGGCATATCCACTCGTTATTTAGGAAAACAAGTAACCTTCAAATTTTCTAATAAGCCTTTTACAAAAAATATTAATTCCATCCAAAACAAAATTAATCAAATCAATTTTTTAAAAGAAGAAGTTTCTTTTGCTAATATTGAAAAATATTTATGTAATTCTTCACTTCAGAAGAAGATCCAAGCTCTTTTAAACAAAATCCAAGCTTCTATATGTTCTGACCTACCCAGCGCTTTCTGGAATAGGAAAAAACATATTGTCAGTCTCCCTTATGAATCGGGATTCAAAGATACCCAGATTCCCACTAAAGCCAGACCAATTCAGATGAATGAAGAACTTCTTCATTATTGTCAGAAAGAGATTACTGATCTCTTAGACAAAAACCTTATTAGGAAAAGTAAGAGTCCTTGGTCTTGCTCAGCATTTTATGTCAATAAACCTGCTGAGATTGAGAGAGGTACTCCCAGACTTGTCATCAATTACAAACCTCTCAATCAAGCCCTTCAATGGATTAGGCATCCTATCCCCAATAAGAAAGATCTTCTTAACAGACTTAATTCTGCTAAGATATTTTCGAAATTTGATATGAAATCTGGATTTTGGCAAATCCAAATTTGCGAAAATGATAGGTACAAAACTGCCTTTACTGTTCCCTTTGGGCATATCAGAATCGTTATTGATGATTTTGTTCTTGATACTTTGGCCCTTTTTGATACAGGTGCTGATTCAAATTGTATCTTAGAAGGTCTAATTCCTACAAAATATTTTGAAAAAACCTCTGAAAAACTCAGCACTGCTAGTGGTTCAAAGCTGAAAATTAATTACAAACTTTCTAAAGCCGTGATTGAAAATCAAGGGCTTAAGGTTGAAACAAATTTTCTTCTTGTTAAAAATTTAAAAAATGAAGTTATTTTGGGAATAATTCCTACAAAATATTTTGAAAAAACCTCTGAAAAACTCAGCACTGCTAGTGGTTCAAAGCTGAAAATTAATTACAAACTTTCTAAAGCCGTGATTGAAAATCAAGGGCTTAAGGTTGAAACAAATTTTCTTCTTGTTAAAAATTTAAAAAATGAAGTTATTTTGGGAACACCGTTCATAAAGGCTCTTTTCCCTTTGCAAATTTCGAAAGATGGCATATCCACTCGTTATTTAGGAAAACAAGTAACCTTCAAATTTTCTAATAAGCCTTTTACAAAAAATATTAATTCCATCCAAAACAAAATTAATCAAATCAATTTTTTAAAAGAAGAAGTTTCTTTTGCTAATATTGAAAAATATTTATGTAATTAAAACTGTTTTAAAAGAGAGAAAGAAAGAAAATTAAAACAAAATCAAAAGCGTATATAAAGTAATATATGATCGTAATGTTTTAAAAAGAGACATTAAAGAAAGAAGAAAATTTAAATTGTGAACTAAGAGGACTTAATTTTCTTTCAAAAGATAATTATTTTAAAAAAAATTCAAATTCTTTTTTATCTCCTATTTAATTTATATTGATCTTATACTTTTATATATATATATATATATATATATATATATATTTTAAATATTAATTTTTTATTAAAAATAAATTTAAAGTATAAGAGATACTTTATCTCATACAACTCTAAAGAAAATTAATAATATATTTAAAAAATTATTAATTTAATTCACATATAAAATTAATCTTTCTCAATATTCTGCTATAAACTATTTTTAATAACGATACTTCATAGAATCAAATATTTTACCAGTATTTAACACATAAAATATTATTCCACTCAAACTAAATTATGCATACTACCTTAAACTATACTATTATAATCCTCTTTTATTTCTTTTTTCTACGTTAGATTCTATTTAAATATAAACTCACACCAAACTATTCAAATATTATTTAATATTTTTTATACTTATATATATATATTACTTTCTTGTTTATTAGTGTATTCAGTCATTAAATTGTCAATTAAGTTGTCTTAAATGCTGCAATAGCTCATGAGAAGGCTGAACTGGCACGTGAATTAGTTAGATCTTAATAAACTGTTATTTTTCATTTTATTTATGATAATTTGTTTTATTTTAACATTATAATTGATGTTTCGTCTCTTAAACTTGCTAAGTTTCTCTCAATTTTCATGCGAGAATGCTCTTGTTAATAACAACACCGTAGCGCAATCTTGTGCTATTTTTCAAGTAAACGCGGTCGTCCTCGGCATCAACATACCCATGTTGAACAACACAAATCAATAAAGTATTAACGTAAATATTTTTATTACAATTTTATTATACGTAATTATTTTAATTTATATTTAATATATTTTTATACATCGTATAAAAATTTCCATAAAATATTTGAAAAGACTTTATTTCGTAAAAAAATTATTTACTATCATTGAGAATTGAGATATAAAAATATGTCACTATTTAAAATTTTAAATTTTTTTATCATGATATAATTAAGTAATTCTTATTGTATCGACTCAAAATATTATTAATTGATTCTTATAATTCTATCTTTAATTATTAATTAGATCTTTTATACATGAAAACAAATATTTAAATTTTTTTTATTAGAAAAAAATTCTTTGTTATCTAAAACTTTTCTTAATATTTTATTAATTACAGTTATGATTTTTTTTTATTAATCCATCCATTCACTAAATACTATGACTTTTTTAACTCAAATATATAACTTCTAATTTTTAAAAAAATCATGATCTTTAATTTGTTATCCTATATTTATTTTTTTTAAACAAGCTAACAAACTTTTTTTTTTTATTAATATACATTTAGCTTCTACGATCGACACTTGTTTACGAATTGATTTTTATACTTGAAAAAACTTACAACAATGATAAAACATAACAAAACAATCGTATAAAAAATAGAATATAATTTTTTTAAAAATATATAAGCTAATTTGTAAACGAGTGTCATTTTATCTTGGTTATACGAGTTATACTTATTTTAATATTATTATAAATTTTAATTAAATCATTTTATTTTACAATATTTATAATGTTGAAAATTCTTATCAAATATATATATATATATATATATATATATATATTAAATTATTCTAAAATTATTTAATATCTCATTCATATATAAAATTAATGTGATATATATTTTAAAAATAAATAAAAATAAGAATCAATTAAAAATTTATCATTATTATTTATAATATTTGACTCAAATAATCTTGATTTAAAAAATTACAGATAAGATATTGAAAAGGATAATGTATGTTGTTATTAATAAATATAAATATTTTGTTATATTAAATAGGAGTAAATTAAAGAATATTATATCAAGATTTAAAATATAAAATTAAATTAATAATATTTAAAAATAAAGATGAATAAATTAAATAAAAATTAAACGCTCGTTGCATGATACTGTAAATAAAAGGTGTATGTTTTTAATTAAACGAAATAATTGTGATAAAAAATGTTTTAAAATTTTATTACTAAAAGTTAAATGTTGAAAATATTGGTATTCATTATTTAAATATATCACATTGCATGAAAATTGTTTAAATATAATAAAATGTATTACCAATTAGTTCATTAAGTAAAATACTCCCTAGTAGAATAGCATCTCCACCAGTAGACTTGACATTAATTGTTTTCTGCAAAGTAATCTCATGTTCAATGTTCAAACACAAAATTCAAATTTTATATTCAAAATATATTCATTCAAAGTTTTTGCCCGTGAAGTTATTTTACTGTTTTTTTTGTTAATGGGTCCATGATAAATGATATTTTATGTACAATTCTTTCTAACATTACACAGCATCTCCATGTGTCTCCTACGTGGCTACAGCGCACAATACATGGACTAGTTCTACATACGTCTCACTCTAGCTACCTCATTTCATAATACTCTAACTGAGATTCCAAATGCATTCAACGTAACTATTTTTCTATAACCCTAAGTAGAGTGAAAAAGTGCCTCTTTCAGTTACCTATTATTATTTTATTTTATTTTTTTGTTTGTTTGTATAATTGAACTCAACATCATGTGACACATTAATGACAGAAACTGCATGTTGGTTGTTTAAGATAACCATTGTGGAAGAAAACAAATGATCAAAAGGACTAAAGAGGAAGAATTTGATATGGAAAAAAGCATCATATTGAGGGAGCCTCTGATTGCCCAAGAACAAGAAAACCCATCTCTAATCAACCATTTATATATTGGTCACTTCTTAGCTAGATGGGGTGCCAGGTTCTTCTTTCATCCATCTCTCACTTTGATATAACACATAAATAATATTGATATATCACTATTTGCTCTTGTGTACTTTGATTTCATTGTTACAAAATTTTTCCCTTTTTCTTCTAGTTTTTAAACATCACCTTTTGTCAAGAAAATCCTCTCTCTCCCTTCTATTTAGTACTTTTATTTCAGTTTAATTTCGTGTTAATTGGATTAATTAATGGGTTTTTATACCGTATTGTTACATAAAGAGATGAATTGAAATGATTGTCTTTTCCATGAAATCAGAAATTTATGACTGGGATATAAAATATCTCAATATTTATTATATTACCATGACCCAGATACATGTATCAATTAAACTAACTGTACCAAGCTGAGAAATTGGACCACATTAGATATGGTATATTTAGTGCACAGTAGGTGGTTAGGAATTAGGATCACTAGTCTTGGTTTGATAGTTGAGATCTTCAAAATCACTGTTACATCAGTGAATGGTTTACTGTAACAGCTCTATGTTACATTTACACTATACTGTTGGTTTGGTTTGTTTTTATATTTTCTTAGTTTAATTCATTGAGAATATCTGTTTGCAGAATGTGGGAATTCTCTGTTGGTTTATATATGATCAACATTTGGCCAGACTCGTTGCTCTATGCAGCAATATATGGTGCCATTGAATCTGCCTCCATTGCACTGTTTGGTCCCATAATTGGAAGATGGGTTGATAAGTTGTCTTATGTGAAGGTGAGCCCCAAATATTGTTTATCTCTAATTTTTGTGTAAGGATTATGAGAAATTAAATTATATGACCTCTAAAGCTTTTTTCCTGTTGCAATTAGCTATTTTGTGTTTAAAATTCTACAAAAACGTGCTTCCGAAAAGCCAAAATCTTTTCATTTACTATCTAAAGAATGAAATCTGAACAATTCAGAAAAGGTATGTAGTTGTGTCTGACTTGAGTAGCTTTAGTTATTTCAATTTGCTGCATAACTTTTCGATTATGAAGGTCAAGGTGCATCCTATAAGGAATTAACTCTGTCTGCATGTTTTATTGGAAGGTTTTGCAATTGTGGTTGGTGACACAAAATCTCTCTTTTGTTATTGCTGGGGCCACTGTAGTTGCCTTACTAGCCAACCCGTCACTGAAGAATACAAATTTCTCAGCTTTCGTATTACTAGTGTTGATAATCAATATCTGTGGTGGCATTGGTGTACTTTCAACTCTTGCCGGTACAATCTTGATTGAAAGAGAATGGTAATATTGCTGAGGTTGTAGTGAGAAATATCTACATTTGTTTAATCATACCTAGTGAAAAATCTTTTACTGGAATCAAATATCGATGCTAAAGATTTTGTTCTAATAACCATCATGTTGTCTTTACAGTCTTTCAAGCTTTTCAACTCAAGTAAAAATAGTGGATTCTTTTCTAGTAGTTTGATTGTAGACATTGAAGAAAAAATGATATCTCACAGCATTATTAATACTCCTATGTTGCTTTCTTCAAAATGTGATGACTTTGCTGATATTTCTTAGTAGCACTTCTTATGGGGCACTGAATTAAGTGAAATGTCTATTATGTAGTTGAAGTTATAGAAGAAATTTTTAGTAAAACAATTGTTTTTATTCTAGTTTCTATTATACAGGTTGTTGGTTATATCTGAAGGTCAAGCCCCAGAATTGCTGACAAAGATGAATTCAGTCACGAGACGCATTGATCTAAGCTGCAAGCTTTTTGCTCCTGTCATTACAGGGTTCATAATAAGTTTTGTATCATTAAAAGCATCTGCTATAACATTAGCACTTTGGAATACTGTGTCTGTTTGGGTTGAGTATTGGCTTTTTACATCTGTATATAATGGAATTCCAACTTTGGGCCAAAGTAGCCAGAGGAGGATGGCAAGACTTTTACAAAGTGATCAGGAAAGGAACAGTCCAACTTTGGTTGAAGACAACATGCTTTCTGTTACTGGTGGTAATCCAGAATTGGCTGATGATAGAAAAGGCCAGAAAAAATTTTCTGATTGGATTTCAGAGATCCCTTATATTTCTGCATGGAGAGTTTATTTACAGCAAGAAGTTGCCCTTCCTGGAATAGCTTTAGCTTTGCTATTTTTTACTGTATTAAGGTGAAAGCTTACCAACAACTAGAACAAGATATATGATATGAAGAAACATTAGTCTTAACTATGGCATGTTTGGATTAGCGTTACTCAAACATAGATTCATTCTATAACTACAAGTTATAGTTTACAGACGCTTAGCAATGCTGGGAATTATACTTTAGCCATTTAGAAAATTTCATTCTAAATACACTTTAATAAACATGCATTGTATTTCTTTGATGTCAATTGGGCATGAAGCCTCACTGATGAATTTTCAATTACTTGCCTCAGCTTTGGAACTTTGATGACAGCCACCTTAGAATGGGAAGGCATACCTGCATATGTTATTGGAATAGCAAGAGGAATTAGTGCTGTGATTGGAATAGCTGCAACAGTTGTATATCCTGTGCTACAGTCTCATATATCCACTATTAGAACTGGACTTTGGTCTATCTGGTCTCAGGTATAAACTTAACAATGACTTCAAAGTATATATTTTTTGTATGAATAACCAATGTACTTGTCAAATATTCAATTTCGGTTCTTTGTGAACAAGTACACAAGAAGTGTCACGTATAATACTTAACATGAAGGCTGTTCTTCTTTATGAGTAATTCCTATTGATCATTGTTGTCTTTCTTTATGTATATTTTATATGAAGTGGACCTGCCTCCTCCCATGTTTAGCTGCAATATGGATCCAAAATGGCTTTCTATCATCATATATTCTGATGGGAAGTGTGGCTATATCGCGGCTTGGATTGTGGATGTTTGACTTATCTGTACTTCAACAAATGCAGGCAAGAGATAACCCTGATTGTTTCCTAAAGATATTTTTAATAAATGTGAAATATAGATTTTAATGTTTATTATGAATCATTGTTGGTCTCTTTCTTTATAATCATATTAGTCTTATTTTTCTTTTCATCTTTCTTAAATAGGATCTTGTTCCTGAATCTGACCGTTTGATTGTTGGAGGTGTTCAGAATTCACTTCAGTCTTTGATGGATTTATTGGCCTATGTAATGGGAATCATAATATCTGATCCACGGGTGAGTTTTAAAACTACATTGATTCATTTCCAACCCAAATATGCATATTTTCTTCATCCTTGTTACGAACATACAAATGGGGAGAGTAAGAATGGATATTTCTGTCTCTCTCTATCTCAGTGAAATCACTTAATATACTTCATTATATCGTTTCCTTTGAAGCTTCTAGACTAATATTCACTCACCAATCTGAAGAAGAGACGTTAAGTCACCAGTGAAATGGTTCATCAGATCTTGCTAATACAATTGACATCTTACAAAATGCCAGCTTAATGAGCAAACCCCAAGTACAGCTACATAATTTGATTCTGAAGTTTATGCAAGAATAATTCCTTTTATTTATATCATTTCATTTAATCTATCGATTTGTTTTCCTATAGAAGTTTGGAAAAGTTTGAGAAAACAATAACCGGAGTAGCTCACTAATCTCTTTAATAAGATTTTGAGATTTGAAAATATGTCAGATGAATGGATGAAGAGTACTTTGGTCCCTATATAAAAGAATAAGGGTGATATTCAAAATTGTGCGAACTATAGAGAGATTAAACTCATGAGTCACACTATGAAGTTGTAAGAAAAAGTGATTGAACATAAAATACGAGAGAAAACTGAGATTGCATGAAGATCTACAAATGAAGCACGACCAGTTATCCTATATGTTAGTGAATGCTAGGCTTTAAAGCAACATAAGAAAAAAGTGGAAGTAAAAAAAATGAGAATACTAAGATAAATAATGGGACATACACTAAGCTAGATGATTGGACATGTAAGAAATAACATAATACAAAATGACAGTATACGAGAGTGGATTGGTCATTGTGCAAAGAAAACCTTTGGAAGTGCCAATAAAGAGAGAATGGATTGTATGACTTGTAGTCCAGTAAAAATAGATCAAGAGAAACTCAAAAGAACCTGAGACGAAGTTATTGAAAGAGACATTTTAAATTAATCAGATTTCTGATAATTTAATTTTTGACCAAGTTCAACAACATTGTATGATGTAGCTAACTGCACTTAGTGAGATAAGGCTTGATTGTTGTTGTATTGATTTGTTTTCCTCTACATTTTTCATTAATGACTATTGCTGTAGTTTTCAATGTTAGAAAGGAATTCTCTAACTTTACCGCCACCAAATTAGATCTAACAAAGGCACTCTAGTTAATCTAATAATTGCAGTTGAAACTTTAGACTACAAATTCATCTATTGCATCTCTATTTGACCACTCCCACGCTTTCTTTTGCACCATATAAAGATGTAGCAGCATATTTCTTTCTCTGATGGAGAAACTACAATTCAACACCCATGATCTCTTCCAAAACCACAGGAGAAACACAGAATTTCACTATCCTGAGAGAATTATTGTTTAATAATTGGTCGTTGCTCCAAAATAAATGCATGCTTAGATATAGCAACGGTAAAACAATTTACATCTGCTTGTTCATTCGCATTAATGCTTTTAGTAAAATGTTCATGCCAAGTAGGAACACAATTCCCTCATTTCTCACCTTGCAAACAAATTTTATCTCCAACTTTACAAAAACTATTCACAACACTACTTTGGATATAATTTATTTCTGAGTAGTACCTTTATAGTTATACTTAACGAAAAAATTTCACCTATTGTCAAAAACTGGCTTTTGATTTGAATCTGATGCTTAACAAAATCACATTTTATTGATCCTGTTTCCTGTTATCTGATTTTCTTTTCAGGACTTCTGGAAGTTGACTTTATTATCATTTCTTGCAGTCACATTAGCTGCATTCCTCTACTGCATTCATGTATACCATGTGCGGAAGCACATCTTTCACTTTGATCTATTGTGGGGTAAATGTTTTGTAAGAGAATCTTAAGTTGGGGAGGTCTATTTGTTGGGCCAAAGTTTTGTTCCTGTTAATAAAATTTGGAGAAATGTAAATACAATGGTTATGGAGTGATAATGTATGGTGCTTGTCAATAATCATCCTACTTTTAAGCAAAACATTTTGCATATATAAGAATTGCCCTTAATGAGATACTGGATTGATCAAATAACTGAAGTTTTGAAATCTATATACTTGACTTTTTTTTTTATAGTAACTGATGACATTATCAAATTTGCACTTAATGAAATAAGATCATCATTGTCGTCATCTTACTTCAAGTGCTTCTAATTTTATTATGTGTTTGGAAATAGGTTACAAAACTTACAGAAGCTACAACCAATAATGTCATAGTAAATACGGCTCCATATTTAATCGCGAATCCAAACATATTGAGTTGCTGATTTCGTTACAAGTGCAATGTGAGTGATGCATTAAAGACTTGATGTGACTCACGTTTAAGCTGATCTTTAAGAGAACCTCATGAATCAAGAATTTAATTTTTCTTCTATAGAGCCAAATATTGTACAATTCACCTCATAAGGAACAAGACACAAAACTTGAAACTGAATAAACAAGTCTTTGGTAGTAGAGACTTGCTTTCTACTTGAAGAATTCACGACCAAATGTGTAATTGGATATGCTTTCTTTGATATCTATTAAGCACAATGTATAGTTGTTGTTACCACCTGCAGGCTCATAAAATAATATTAGATTAGAAAACTTACTAGCGGTGATCACATAGAATTGCAACCAATGCCTAAACAATTACAGAATAAATAAGCAATTAAACATATTTAAGAGTCTCCAAAAACCATATAACAATTGTCACAACCATCTTAAAAGGTGGCCACATTGAAAAGGGCAACTTAAATTTAAAAAATTTGGAGTTCCTGCCATATCTTGTGTGACTACGTACGATATATAAACATGCCAACAGCATCATCACCCATTTGACACTATCATCTCGGTGACTACCAAAAATTTTCTTAATCGTTTGTTCTGTTGAAAAATAGAATGACAGGATTGGACACCTCAAGAAATGATGTGCAATTTAGAGCTAAGATTGGGGAGTTAATCACAAATTGGAAGGTGCAGCACTTTACGTTGTCCATAATGAATGAATATTTATTAATTATAGAAATACTAGTAACACATACTAATATTCCATGTAGCACATTCTCTTTTAACACACTATAAAAATTATAAAGAATAGTAAACAATGCATTAATAGTTACAAGCGTTTTGATTTGTGCAATGCAATGTTGTAACTAACGCATTGAATATTCTATCTGAAGAGATTTTGTAAGTCTTATTTTTCGTACTTATAAATTAATGGTTTTTTTCTCGTGCTTACATATTTTTCAATAAATGTATGTCAATTTAGTAGTGTATGTCATTATTAGTCTTCCTCTTATTATTATTTTTAACAACTGCCAACAATATATTTAACAAAAAATAGATATTTAGGTCATACAAAAGTAACATTTAAAATCTCAATGAAATGCTTTAAAATGTTATCATAATAGTAATATGCATATACGTCGTATCTTTTGTTCATATTATCATCCATATTGTTGCTAAAACTTGCACTTTTTGCCTTTCCATCCATCCTGCATTGAAGCCTCCTACGTAGTGGTCAACTCATCTATACATTTTATGCATCACAAAAGCAAATTGATATCCTAAAAACAAAATCATATATGGAAGTAACATTTAAAATGAAAAATTAGAATACGAGCTCATAAACACTTAAATTCATTTAAAATTAAGAGATTAACACATTGAGGATGCAAAACCATTTAATCAACATCTCTTTAAAGTAATAAGTACAATGTTCCTTAATTTTTAAATTTACCTAAGTTAGTTTATTAATTTATTTTGTCATTATTTTTTCACTTCATTTCCCAATATTTTAAAAAAAAACCAATGTTGAAAAATCCATGACAAAATTCAATCTTTACATTCAATATTTATTCATGTAAAAGCTTTGCCTTAGACATTATGTTACTCTTTTCACTTTTTTTTTACGATTAAAGTTTTATACAAAATTTAAAAAAATATTAAATATTGTAAAAAAATATTAATTAATTTTCATTATACTTTAAAACTAATATCTTATTTATTTATTATTTTTTATTAAAAATAAATTAATTATTAATAGTAAAATTATAAAAACAATAATTATTTCTATAAAATAATAATAATCATAATTTAATAAAATAAACTTGCTAAAGTGTAAAAAAAATGAAGAGAGTTGTTGCTGACATCAAATTTGTCTTCTACGTGGCTACAAAAACAACACGTAGACTCATTACTGGCCTCATTCTAGCGGAGATTCCAGCCGCAATTCAACGAACTGTTATTCTGTAGCTTTGACTTTGAGCAAAATTGTTTGTTTCATTGGCCAATTATTATTATTTATTTATTTTGTATAATTGATGAGAGAAATCGCACGTAGGTTAAGATTAACCACTGTGATAGTAATGGTCAAAAGGAGTGAGTGAGTGAGTGAATGAGGGTAAGAATCGGATATGGAAGAAAGCCGCAAATTGAGGGTATCTCCGTTCCCTCAACAACAGGAAAAGCCATTTGCTCTCATCACTTATTTATATATTGGCCACTTCTTAGCAAGATGGGGTGCCAGGTTCTTCTTTTACTTCTCATCATTGGTTTAAACTCATAATTAACATTGATAAATCATTAGTGGTTCCTGAGTTCCTTTTGATTTCATTGTCACAATTTGAATTTCTTGCTTTTAAAATCTTCCTTTATCAAAATAGGATCATGGGTGTTTATACATTATTATCAAAAAGGATGAGTTGAAATGTCTATAATGAGAAAATCATTAGTGTGATAAGAAATATATACCTCAATATGAATTATGTCACATCCAGTTCAACTGTATCTATTAAATTTATCTATTACAAAGTTGACATGCAGACTACATTAGACGTGATATCAAAATCGTTGGTGGATCAGTGAATGGTTACACCAGTTTGCTTTGTTTTTTGTGTTTTTTTAGTAAAATTTACGGAGGATCTTTGTTTGCAGAATGTGGGAATTTTCTGTTGGTTTATATATGATCAATATTTGGCCCGATTCGTTGCTCTATGCAGCAATATATGGTGCTGTTGAATCTGCCTCCATTGCCGTGTTTGGTCCCATAATTGGAAGATTGGTTGATAAATTGTCTTGTGTGAAGGTGAGAGCCCCAAGTTTTTTATCTCACCCCTGAAGCCATGCTCTCTTTTTGCTATTGCCTATAGTATTAGCTAAATTCTTGTTAATTTTAGTTCAGTGAATAGGTTTAAACTTAAAACATTCAAAAGTACTAATTTTTTATTAAAAATAAATTTTTTATAACATAAATACCGCTCACAATAAATTTATTTAAAGTAAATTATTTATAATATACACTACAGTCTCTAATACACTTTTAGTTATTAGCTAAATTTTGTAAAGAATTACGTAAGTCTTTCTCTTAATGTAATGATTTTATCTCTTAATTTAATGATTTTTACTTATACTCTTATAATTTTTAATAAATTTTAGTCAATAATTCATGGTTTGTTAGAAAATATATTTTTAGTCCTTTTTTTATTGGTAACATTGAAAATACTTTTATACTTTTATCTCTAATAAAATTTTGTTATTATTTTGAAAAAGTTGTAGAAGAGCAAATAAATATCTTTAGACTAATTTATCTTTCACTTGTGTCCCGTAAAGGATAAACCATTGACCCTCTTTAACCAATATAAAATGTTGCTTAAATAAATCCCAAATTTCCACTCTCTTCAGAGAAGTTATGGATCTGGTATTGAGGCTTACTTCTTGGTCACTTTTTTCGCATTTACTTCAATCATCACAGATTTAGTTGGGATTTCAAGTATGAATGAGATGTGGGAGAAGAATTCCTACATAACACAAGAAAGAAATGGACTAAATGAGGACTACATAGGTGCAAAGACTCAAGAGTATGTAGTTTCCTTGCATAGTATTATCTAAAATGAGATATCAACAAAATTCAAAGATAAAATGTACATAGCAATTTCACACTATTAGTGGTAGCTAGTCCAATTTGCTTCATTATTCTTTGATTATAAAGGTCAAGGTGCCTCTGATGAAGTAACTCTATCTGCATTTTTATTGGCAGGTTTTGCAATTGTGGTTGGTGACACAAAACCTATCTTTCGTTATTGCTGGGGCCACTGTGGTGGCCTTACTTACCTTCTCATCTTTGAAGTTTACAAATTTCTCAGCTTTCATATTGCTGGTATTGATAATCAATATTTGTGGTGGTATTGGCGTACTTTCAACACTTGCCGGAACAATCTTGATTGAAAGAGAATGGTAATATTCTTCAAACTTCATTCAGGAAAGATTTATATTTGATCAAGCATGTACATTGTACAATGAGTAATCTATTGCTTGAATCCTATATTGATGCAAAAGATTTAGTTCTCAACGTCATGCTGTCTACAATCTCTCAACGTTTACTAATCGGATAAATTTCAGTTGTTCCTGTCTAGAAATTTTGCTTGATTTCCTGTAAGTTTAATTGTGGATGATAAGGAAATATGGTACTTTACAGCAAGGTCAATACTTCTATTTTTCTCTCATCAAAATGTAATGACTTTGCTGATATTTTACATAATCACTTCTTTTAAACGATATTGAATAATATGAAATTTCTAAGTTATAGAAGAAATATTCTATAAAAAAAATGCTTTTATTCTCGTTTCCAATGAAGAGGGAGAGCCTTGGTGAAACATTATGGTTGCTTTCTTGTACAGGTTGTTAGTTATATCTGAAGGCCAACCCCCAGAAATGCTGACAAAGATGAATTCAGTCACAAGACGCATTGATCTAACCTGCAAGCTGCTTGCTCCTGTCATAACTGGATTCATAATAAGCTTTGTGTCACTAAGAGTATCTGCTATAGCCTTAGCACTATGGAATACTCTCTCTGTTTGGGTTGAGTATTTGCTTTTTACAGCTGTGTATAATGGAATTCCAGCTTTGGGCCAAAGTAGCCAAAGGAGGATGGAAAGACTTCTAATACTAAATGATCAAGAAAGCAACGAGTCAACTTTGGAGGAAGATAGCTTGCTTTCTGTTACTGATGATAACTTGGAATTGGCAAATAGAAAATGCAGTAAAAAAATTTCTGAGAAGATTTCAGAGATTCCTTATGTTGCTGCATGGAGAGGTTATTTAGAGCAAGAAGTTGCCCTTCCTGGACTAGCTCTGGCCTTGCTATTTTTCACTGTACTCAGGTGAAAGGTTACAAACAACTATAGCAAGAAAATATTACATGAAAAAATTATAGTCTGAATTGGCCTTTTCCACTAATGCTTAAAGTATCTGAACTATTTATGAATAAAAAGAAGGCCATAACACATGAAGTTAAAAATGGCATGTCTATAAAGGATTTTCCTTGATATTTTCATTTTTAACTCCTTAGAAGCTTTTATAGTACTATTATGTGTAATGTATCTCAAATTTTGCTAGTTAGACAACACTCTAGGGCTAGCTAATCTTTTTCTTTTTTAAAAACACCTCAGAATAGTAGATGTATGTATCAAACAGTTCATGGACATTTCAAATACTCCCAAGTCCTAACTACATTTTATAATATTTTACTTGAATTTTTATGTTAATTTTGTTTTAACTTTATATGATGTTGTACTAATGATATCATGTCGGATAATTTTTAACATTTGTCAGTGTCATATCTTTGTGTCTATATCATATCATCTTTGTTCTTTATATTGGGTTAGTGCTTTCTAAGATTCAGCAACAATGGCATCTGTAGCAGTTGTGCGTCCATGTTGTGTCAAATTACTGTTTTATTTATTAAAAAAAAATATCAATGCATTGTACTGTAGTCAATTGACACAGTCGTTCAACAAAATTTTGTTGTAAACACACTTTAAAAAACATGTCTTGCATTTCTTTGCTGTCAACTGAGCATGAGGCCTCACTAATGAAATTCCAATTACTTGCCTCAGCTTTGGAACTTTGATGACAGCAACCTTAGAATGGGAAGGCATACCTGCATATGTTATTGGAATAGCAAGAGGAATCAGTGCTGTGATTGGAATAGCTGCAACAGTTATATATCCTATTTTACAGTCTCATATATCATCTGTTAGAACTGGACTTTGGTCTATATGGTCTCAGGTATAAACTTAGTAATGGCTCGAAAATGTTCTATCTAAATAACTAGTTTAGAATTTAGATTGCTTGTACTTCCACTATCCTTTTTATAAGAAGCTCTTAAAGATTTTTCTTGGTCCTTAATATAAAACTCTTTACTAAGTTTTGGGAGCATTTATTAATTTTTTTACATATTTGCCTTTCATTATCAAACCCTTCTAACTTCTTGATAATTAATATAAAAATAAAGTTTGACTTTAACTGGGGTTAAACGTAATGCTGTAATGAATTTTTCAGACACCAATACATTAACTGCTTCTAATAATTTTTCTTAACAAGTGTGATTTAGTTAAAAGGTTCTTATAGAAGTACTCATTTTTCCTCCTCTGTGGACAAGTATGAAAAGACATTAGTATATAGGCTTTCTTCTTATCTTTGTCGTCATAGTTTATGTATGTTTTGCATGCAGTGGACTTGCCTCCTTCCATGTATAGCAGCAATATGGATCCAAAATAGCTTTCTATCATCATATATTTTGATGGGAGGAGTGGCTATATCTCGACTTGGGTTGTGGATGTTTGACCTATCTGTACTTCAACAAATGCAGGCAAGAAATTCCCTTATTGTATGAATTATTTAATAGTTTTGACATCTAGCTTTTAGTGTCTGATGAATCCTTGATAGCTTTTGGATACTGTCTTTGGACATTGGAGATAGAGACATTGAGACAATAAAGGACAGAGATATTAATGTTTGTGTCTTGTATTGTGTTTGAATATAAAAATTATGAGGGTAATCTATGCAATTTTTAAAAATTATGTAATTTTTAAAAATTATGAGAGATATTTTTGTCTTCAAAAGTTTATCTTCTATCTCTAGAGCTGGGACACTAGTATCCTTTTTTCAGGAGATACACTAGTGTTCTTTGAATTTGTGTCCTAGTGTTATTTGTGTCTTTCTCTCTCTTCAATGAGACACTAGTCAAACATGATACGCTGCCTCCGTATTTCTGTTCTAGTGTCTTTGTCTCAGAACCAAACGCCACTTGAAGTTCACTTTCTTTATGATCATCTTGGCCAGATTTTTTCTTTCTTTGTCTTCATTTTTTTTAAAACAGGATCTTGTCTCTGAATCTGATCGCTTGATTGTTGGAGGGGTTCAAAGTTCACTTCAATCTTCGATGGATTTATTGGCCTATGTCATGGGAATCATAATATCTGATCCACGGGTGAGTTTTAAAACTATAATGTTTCATGTCCAACCCAAAACAGATCATTGTTCCACAAATAAATGCATGTTTAGGTCTGCAAGGCTAAAAATCTACTAGTCCATTTACATCAATGCTTTTGGAGACCTACTTGCATACTTTTAAAGTAAAAGCAGTTATTTAGAAAAATCTAAAATAATTTAGGGACCTACAAATTAATTTAATCTTAAAAATTTTACCATGTTGTATATTCCCCCCTTACCTTTCAAACAAATTTCATTTCCTCCAACAGCAATGCAAAAATTATTCAATGCTATTATTGACTTAAGTCTACAGTTTTTTGTATAAAAGTAAGCTTAATGAAAAATGTTCCATCTACTTTTAAAAACTAGCAATTGCATTGAGTCTTATGCTTAACAAAATTGTTGTGTTAACCCTGTTTCCTGTTATCTCTTTGTCTTTTCAGGACTTTTGGAAGTTGACTTTATTATCATTTCTAGTTGTCACATTAGCTGCATTCCTCTACTGCATGCATGTATACCGCGTGAGGAAGCACATCTTTCACTTTCACTATCTATTTTGTGGTAAATGTTTTGTAAGAACATCTTAAGTTGTGAAGGCCAATAGGCAAAAGTTTTGTTTTTCATTCCATTTTTTGTTTTTTGGTGATGTCTTTCATTCCATTTGAAGAAATGTCTATATTTATTTTGCATTTTAGAGCATCCTAAAGTGCCAGTGTTTGAACTGCTAGGTGGAAATGTTCATAATCATTTTGCTTTCAAGTGTATCCTTTTTGCATTAGAATATCCTCCAATAAAAGAAAAGTATACTTGAAACTCAAATTATAATTAAAAAAATAATTAATTAAAGTTAAAATAAAACAAATTAACATTAATTTCAGTCCTTAAAATTAAATTTAAACTTTTAATATTAATAAAATTTTATTAAAAATGAAATATTTATTATATTTTTATTTATTTAATGTATAAATATTTTATTTTTTAATAAACCTTTATTACATTTAAATGCATAAATTCAACTTTAAAATTTAAAGTTTACAACAAATGACCTTTAAAACGCTATAGCAAAATAGTCTATAATGAGATAATTGATGTTTAAAAATTGTAATATGCATGTATAATATGTTATGTACACAAAATTTTAGTATAAATGTTCAAAAAATTCTCAAAATTAATTCCGTAATCATAAAATACTGCAGTATAAGTGTAATTAAATAAAAAATATTTTCATAGGATAAAGTTAAAGTTTAAATGTAATTTGACCCTAATTTTAATCTAATCAAATTCTATCTTTGATTGAAAATCATCTTCTTCATTGTCACTCTTCACACTACTACTTCTATAGATGTGTTCTTCATCTTCTTTAGTTTCTTCATCTACTTTTATTTCTTTCTCTTTATTTTGCATAATATCTTTCTTTTTTTAGAATGAGAGGTAGTTACAATTTTCTTTTGTAATATTGTTTGTTATCTAGTGTAACCACTAGATCAGCCCCAATAGCTTTAGCAATAATTCTCCAAATTCAATTATCAGCATCAAATACTAACTCATCTTCAGTATGTTTCATGTTTTTTCCTTCTCCTATTTCTCCAATCAATCACTCATTTTAATTGTCAAAATCGTTCAAAACAATGAGATTAATCACATTACCACTATTATAATGATCTAACATATTTTGGTTATACTTAATATAAACAAAATCTTATAACTTTGGTTCTCTAATTTGCTTCCCTTCTTAGAGTGAATTTAATCATCAATTAATATAAATCTAAAAAAAATTACTAATTAAAACTTAGTTACTTACATGTTCAAAAAGACTTTAATTTCTCTTACAGCTTGATGAACAACAAGTCAAGCTCAACACTTTAATGGTCAACTTTTGCAAGTTTGGAACTTGATTTCTATTATTTCTCCACCATTTAGCTTAATGAAATTAAAATATTGGCATTATTTAATTATAAAAAAACACAATAAACAACATTTAAAAGAAATCAAATTCTTTTGATTTAAATTAAATAGGAGCCAAATTATGTCTTTGTCTTATAGTTGCATTTAAACTAAAGATTTCATCAACTCTTTTGTACGTAGTCAATTCAATTGTAATTTTATCCACCTCTTTTCAAACTTACTCAATGCACTTGTATAGTTCATGGTTATTTCAACATCAAAATCAATACTTAGATTATAGTAGAATTTGAGGTTTAAGAAATGACTTGTGTCATGTAGTGGATGATGAAGTTGATATTCTCACCTTCTATCAATGGTTTTAAATACATGCTTATACATCTCTTCATTTTCAACAACTTTCTTAGCTCTATCCATTGCTTCATCTATATATATATATATCCTATTGTTGTCCTTTTTTCATTGTCTGCAAGTTTTAGTACACACACAAGAGACTTTATCACCTTAAAAGTGTACAAGACTTTATTCCAAAATGTAGGTATCAATACAAATGTAAGTTGCCTTCTTACCTTTAGTCACTTTGGTTATCTTTTATTTCAACCAATCATTCGAAGTGAACATTTTTCTACAGTTGCATTTTTGTTTTTGCAACATTTGCAAAGTGAGAAATGTTGTTACAAATCTAGTGACTCCATGCCTAATCGATTCTATCTTTTTGTGAACTTTCTCATCAAGTTCAAAGCCAAGGAGTGATTGTATATGAATCCTACAAGAGAATAACTTCTTTGTATGGTCCTTTCAACTTTTGGAATCTTCCTAATATCCTTCAACATAAAGTCCAAAGAATGGCTGCACAAAGAGTCCAAAATAGGTGTGATCTCATTGCTTATAAATATTTACCTAAGGAAAGATTTTAAGAATTTATATAAGATAAAAGTATTAAAAAGATTTTTGTAGTGTATAATACTTATAAATAAAAAGTGTCAGTCACTATTTGGACAATTTTTCCTCTCCTATCTCATCTACATAGGAATTGAACAACTCAAACAATTTTTCTCCAATTTTTACAAACGAAGAAGTATTGACACTTTTTATGAACATTACGTCACATGGACAATTCACCAAAAAATTAACCAATGTCCTATTCTTCTTATTTGTCCATCCATCTAACATAATAAAGCATTCAAAGTTCAATTGTTCTACCTCAAAAGGTTTCGTCATCTCCTTTATTAGTTCCAATTTCTTTTTTCAACAAAGGAACTCTCATTTCATAATAGCTTGATGGTTTTAAGTGTCAACCATAATTTTCAATTGCTTCAACCATGAACTTGATGCTTTTAGACTTCACAACAGTAAATGAGATTGAATTTCTATAAAAAAACTTTGCAATGTATATTGCCATTGTCCTTGCTTCTTTGTCCCAAGTATCATTAATGTTTGTTTACTTTTGAACTTTTTCCAATTTAATTGATGCTTTTCGCTTCTTCATGAGTAGCAAACCCAAAGAACCTTTTAGATTCATTCCCTTCTTCACAGCAAAATCAACACTAATTGATTCAATTGTAGGTCTTTTTACATCCTGAACGAGGTGTATTTCTCAAACCTTTCCTTCTTCATCTTCATCTTCATCTTCCTTCAATCCATCAATTGTATCTTCATCATTTTCAACCTTCTTTTGTTGGTATGCTTCAACGAGCTTCTTCTTAATCTCTAATAGAATTTTTTTACAAGTACTCACATCTTCCCTTATCTCAATTTCGTGTCTTTTTTGCTCTTGTAGTTTCCCTGTTGTGTTTTTCAAACAAAAGTCGCAAGTAACACTCTTCTAAGGCTATTCAATTGCCAAACAATGTCAATATTTTCTTCTGTAAGCTTCACCAAACCACAAGCAAAGCAACAATTGCAGAAGCTCATTGCTTCTGTTCCTGTCGAGAAGATGCAATAGAAGGGGATTAGAAGTATGGAATAGCAAAAAGAGCTTAGATCATTTTCTTTCCAAGTAATAGGGTATGAATAGAAAAGTAGAGTATTATCTCTTTCAGCAAAACAGAGCATGAAATCATGAACAGTAAAGGAAAGTATGAACAAATAAATAGAGCATAAACAGAAAAATAAATCTTAAACGACAAAGTAGAAGATGAGAAAAAATAAACAAAGTTTGAAGCAAAAGTGATCAGTGAATGAAAAAAATAAGAGAGAGAAGATGAAGTTGATTTAATATATAGATTTCATATAGGTAATAAATTACATTTCTACCTTTAAAATAAATCAAAATACTATTTTAGTATAACAAAATAGAATTTATTTTACTTTTCTAAAATTATGCAATAAGACATGCAAATTGTAGTGGCAAACATGGTTGCACCATTATAGCACATTATGAATAGTTATGATTTTAACATTATTTATGAAAATAGCTTAACTCACAATATATATTACTTTTAAAATTTAACCAAAAAAAAGAAAAAGAAAAACTCTACAAGTACTAAGGACCTTCATGAGAAGTTTTGGAAATGCCATTAAAACATGGTTTTAAATTGATTTATTAAAATTTACATTAATTATATATAATTTTATGAAAATTTCACCATTACTATGTAAAGTAACGATAACAATAATAAAAAGTAAAAGATTTTTTATGTAAATAAATAAAATTTGTTAGCAAATTATGCCTATGTCTTGAAATCAATTTCATCAAGAGAATGTCTTGATTTTGGCATATGAAAGTCGATTGAAAATAATTTTCCCATAGAGATTTTAAAGAAGTCAATTATAATTAACTTGTAAAGTAAAATGATAATCGATTTGAATCAACTTTAGTATTATTCTGGAGACAAATATAATCGACTTCTTTAGCTATTTATCCTGAAACAAGAATAGAGAAAGTGGGAGCTAAGAAGAGCGGGGAAGATAGAGGACAATAGGAAGATAGATAACAATTTATATCGATTTAATTTTATTAATCATATTGTAAGTAAGCTTTCAATATAAGTAATTTAATTTTAAAATATATTTGGTTAAATTATATTGAATTATTTTTGTATTTAATTTAATGTGTCATTAATTCTGTAATTGTATGTTTGAAAAAATGTGTAGATGTTAATTATTATATTGTAAATTAAATTTAATTATTTGTTATATATTTCTAATTATTATATTTTTAATTTTAATTATTTTCTATTATATATTTTTAATTATTATAATAATTTAGTTTCATATTGTAGTAATTTATAAATTATAATAAATTGAAATAAAAATTTTGTTAAATTGATATTGTGACATAGTTAATTTAAATTTAATTTTGTTGTAATGTTTTAATTTAAATTTCATGTTCTAGATGAAGAAAATATCAATCAATAATTTGGTGCAATTTTTATTTATTTGATATTTAGTTGGGAGGATTGTATATATTATTTTGTTATTGTACAAGATTCTTAGATTTTCAAAAGTAGACATTATAATATGATAGTCGTCTCTAGATCCAAGAATGGAAATTAGTCTTAGTACATAACATAACCAGACGATAAATGGAGATAGTGGTGACGTAAACTTAAAAACATTAGTCTTTGTACATAACATAACTAGACAATAAATAACAGATACAGTAGAACAAATTAAAATTAATATTGCTCTTAGTACATAACATACTGAATTAATTATGTTGGCTAAAGAATGAAGCATTTGGGCATGTCTGTCTGGTGTGACTGGTACCTCTACACAATCCACATCGTTTTCTCTAGCTCAGATCAGTCTCATTTTTTTCATTGTGAATCCTCGTGGTAACCGAATGACCCTCAAAAGTTTGCTTAAGTGCAGGATTTATCTGTATAGTTGGTCCAGTGTATTGTGGCCAC